TATACACAGACCCACTACAGGAACACCCAGATACATAAAGCAAGTTCTTAAGAGCTACAAAGAGACTTAGACTTTCACACAATAATAGTGGGAGACTTTAACACTCCACTGTCAATATTATATAGATCAATGAGACACAAAATTAACAAGGATATCCAGGACTTGAACTCAGATCTGGACCAAGCAGACCTAATACACATCTACAGAACTCTCCACCCCAAATCCACAGAATATACATTCTTCTCAGCACCACATTGCACCTACTCTAAAACTGACCACATAATTGGAAGTAAATCACTCCTCAGCAAATGCAAAAGAATGGAAATCATAACAAACAGTCTCTGAGACCACAGTGCAATCAAATTAGAACTCAGGATTAAGAAAGTAACTCAGAACTGCAAAACTTCATTGAAACTGAACAACTGGCTCCTGAATGTCCACTGGATAAACAATGAAAATGAAGACAGAAATAAACGTGTGCTTCAAAACCAACAGGAAAGAAGACACATTGTACCAGAATCTCTTGGACACATTTAAAGCAGTGTCTAGAGGGAAATTTATAGCAAAAAAAAAAAAAAAAAAAAAAAAAATGCCCACCTGAGAAGTAAGGAAAGATCTAAAATCGACACCTTATCATCAAAATTCAAAGAGCTACAGGAGCAAGATTTTAAAAACTCAAAAGTTAGCAGAAGACAAGAAATAACTAAGATCAAAGCAGAACTGAAGGAGATAGAGACACAAAAAAATCCTTCAAAAATCAATAAATTCAAGAGCTGTTTTTTTTGAAAAGATCAACAAAATAGACAGACTGCTAGCCAGATTAATAAAAAAGAAAAAAGAGAAGAATCAAATAGATGCAAAAAAAAAATGATAAAGGGGATATCACCACAGATTCCATGGAAATACAAACTACCATCAGACATTACTACAAACAACTCAATGCACGTAAACCAGTAAATCTGGAAGAAATGTACAATTTCCTGGACACTTGCACCCTCCCAAGCCTAAACCAGGAAGAAGCTGAAACCATGAATAGACCAATAACAAGGGCTGAAGTTGAGGCAGCAATTAATAGCCTACCAACCAAAAAAGTCTAGGTCCAGATGGGTTCACAGCCGAATTCTACCAGACATACAAAGAGGGGCTGGTACCACTCCTTCTGAAACTATTCCAAACAATCCAAAAAGAGGGACTCCTTCCCAAATCATTTTATGAGATCAACATCATCCTGATACCAAAACCTGGCAGTGACTCAACAAAAAAAGAAAAATTCAGGCCAATATCCATGATGAACATAGATGCAAAAATCTTTAATAAAATATGGGCACACCAATTGCAAAAGCAAATCAAAAAGCTTATCCATCACGATCAAGTAGGCTTCATCCCAGGGATGCAAGGCTGGTTCAACGTAAGCAAGTCTATAAACATAATCCACCACACAAACAAAACCAAAGACAAAATCCATATGATTATCTCAATAGATGCAGAGAAGGCCTTTGACAAAATTCAGCAGCCCTTTATGCTAAAAAATAAACTAGGTATTAATGGAATGTATCTCAAAATAATAAAAGCTATTTACGAGAAACCCACAGCCAATATCATACTGAATGGACAAAAACTGGAAGCATTCCCTCTGAAATCTGGCACTAGACAAGGATGCCCTCTCTCACCACTCACATTCAATATAGTATTGGAAGTTCTAGCCAGAGCAATAAGGCAAGAAAAAGAAATAAAGGACATTCCATTAGGAAAGGAGGAAGTCAAATTGTCTCTATTTGCAGATGACATGACTGTATATTTCAAAGATCCCATATTCTCAGCCTAAAATCACCTTAAACTGATAAGCAACTTCAGCAAAATCTCAGGATATAAAATCAATGTGCAGAAATCACAAGTATTCCTATACACCAATAACAGACTAACAGAGAGCCAAATCAAGTGCAAACTCCCATTCACAATTGCAACAAAGAGAATAAAATACCTAGGAATACAACTAACAAAGGATGTAAAGGACCTCTTCAAGAACTACAAACCACTGCTCAAGGAAATAAAAGAGGACACAAATAGTTGGAAAAACATTCCATGCTCATGGTCAGGAAGAATCAACATTGTGAAAATGGCCATACCACCCAAAGTAATTTATAGATTCAATGCTATCCCCATCAAGCTACCAATGACCTTCACAGAACTGGAAAAAAAACACCTCAAACTTCATATGGAACCAAAAGAGAGCCCGCATAGCCAAGACAATCCTAAGCAAAAAGAACAAAACCAGAGGCATCATGCTAGGTGACTTCAAACTATACTACAAGGCTACAGTAATCAAAACAGCATGGTACTGATACCAAAACAGAGATATATACCAATGGAACAAAACAGAGGCCTCAGATGCAAAGCTACACATCTACAATCATCTCATCTTTGACAAACCTGACAAAAACAAGCAATGGAGAAAGGGTTCCCTATTTAATAAATGGTGTTGGGAAAACTCGCTAGCCATGTGCAGAAAGCAGAAACTGGACTCCTTCCTTTCACATTACACTAAAATTAACTCTGGATGGATTAAAGATTTAAACATAAGACCTAACACCATGAAAACCTAGGCAAAACCATTCAGGACATAGGCATAGGCAAGGACTTGATGACTAAAACACCAAAAGCTGCTTGGGCAACAAAAGCTAAAACAGACAAATGGAATCTAATTAAACTCCAGAGCTTCTGTACAGCAAAAGAAACAATTATTAGAGTGAACCAACAGAATGGGAAAAAATTTTTTGCAATCTACCCATCTGACAAAGGGCTAATACCCAGAATCTACAAAGAACTAAAACAGGGTTATAAGAAAAATACTAGAAAAAAAAAAAAAAAACATTCAAAAATAGATGAAGGATATGAACAGACACTTTTCAAAAGAAGACATATATGAGGCCAACAAAGGTATGAAAAAATGTTCATTATCACTGGTCATTAGAGAAATGCAAATCAAAACCACATTGAGATACTATCTCATGCCAGTCAGAATGGCCATCATTAAAAAGTCTGAAGACAACAGATGCTAGAGAGGATGTGGAAAAATAGGAATACTTTTACACTGTCGGTGGGAGTGTAAATTAGTTCAACCATTGTGGAAGACAATGTGGCGATACCTCAAGGATCTAGAAATAGAAACACCATCTGATCCAGCAATCCCATTACTGGGTATATACCCAAAGGATTATAAATCGTTCTATTATAAAAACACATGCATACATATGCTTACTGCAGCACTGTTTACAATAGCAAAGACCTGGAACTAACCCAAATGCCCATCAATGATAGACTGGACAAGGAAAGTGTGGCACATATACACCATGGAATACTATGCAGCCATAAAAAAGATAAGTCTGTGTACTTTATAGGGATATGGATGAATCTGAAAACCATCATTCTCAGCAAAGTGACACAAGAACAGAAAATCAGACACTGTATGTTCTCACTCATAGGTGGGTGTTGAACAATGAGATCACATGGACACAGGAAGGGGAGCATCACATACTGGGGTCTATTGGGGGGGGTGCCAGGAAGGGACAGCAGGGTGGGGAAGTTGGGGAGGGATAAAATGGGAAGAAATGCCAGATATAGGTGACGGTGGGGGATGGACACAGCAAACCACATTGCCATGGATGTACCTATGCAACAATCCTGCATGATCTGCACATGTACCCCAGAACCTAAAGTATAATTTAAAAAAAAGAAAAAGAAAAAAATATTCAACTCTGAATGGTAGTTCCAAGACCTTGTAGGAGAGAACAATGGTGGGTTAAAAGACAGGAACTGATGTTTCCCAAAGCTTAAGAATTAAAATCTTGATTTGGCGCAGTGACTCAAGCCTGTAATCCTAGCACTTTGGGAGGCCAAGTCAGGGAGATCATGAGGTCAGGAGTTGGAGACCATCCTAGCTAACACGGTGAAACCCTGTCTCTACTAAAAACACAAAAAATTAGCCAGGCACGGTGGCATGCAGCTATAGTCCCAGCTGCTCAGGAAGCTGAGGCAGGAGAATCACTTGAACTCAGGAGGTGATAGTTGCAGTAAGCCAAGATTGCACCACTGCACTCCAAGCCTGGGCAACAGAGCAAGCAAGACTCTGTCTCAAAAAAAAAAAAAAAAAAGGAAGAATTAAAACCTCATGAGATCTAAGATAAAGACTTAAGATGGAGGAAACACTAAATGTATGCAATAACAGACAAGGAGAAAAACTTTCATCTGATCAATAAAAGTTAAAAAAAAAAAGCATGAAATCACCAAATACGTTCTCAGAAAATCAACTGATCTAGTCCTTCAGCTAGTTCATAAGAACCTGTACTAAGAAGGCACTAAATTAACAATTGTGTGAAAATATTAATTTGCACAAACTTCCTTCTTATTGCTCCACATGCTTGCACACAAATGTTTATTCTTTATTTTAACATCTATGGGTCTTAAAATATTTTTCAAAATCACTTACCCTAAATAAATATTCATTATTCTAGAAAGTTCTAAGCTTCTACCTGATTTCTAAGAGCCATAGCTTAAATGGCGATTACTTTATCTCCCTCTACTCTGGGGCATAAACCATGCTTATATATTTATTCAAAATCCCTTAAATGTAAGAATCTGTGATTGGGGTCTGTTGGGGGGAATAGGGGAGGGATGGGGCGGGGAGGGGTAGGGAGGTTGGGGAGGGATAACATGGGGAGAAATGCCAGATACAGGTGACGGGGGGATGGAGGCAGCAAACCACATTGCCATGTATGTACCTATGCAACAATCCTGCATGTTCTGCACATGTACCCTGGAACCTAAAGTGCAATAATATACATATATGTATATATAAAATAAATAAAAGAACCTGTGATTGTATTATTTTCCATTACATGTGAAGGCAAAATAAAGGCTGGATAAAATTCTAAAGTAAAATGAGTTTTCTCCACTTCTAAATTCTCAAATCGTTAAAGAATGACAATTCAAGCAAATTAATGTTTATTTAATTCATTCATCTTTTATTCTTTTTTTGGTAAACATCACATAATATAAGCAAATCTGTATTGTTCACTATAGTTACACACATTCTTTTTTGCTTTATACAAGTCGTAAACATATTTAAGTGAATAAAATTATTGGCTAAAGACATATTCCAGACGTCTGCCATATGTTTTTCTGAGTTAGAAAAAAAGAAAGCTTATGTAACTTCCATTAGACCATCATCATATGAAAAACTAAATTAGCATATACTGCTTTAAAATTAACATCTGCCATTTTATTTAAACACTTTTTTAGGGTATAACTAACTTGATATTTATCTGAAGTTTTAGGAAAGAACAGAAGCTGACCATACAAATCCTGTTCATAACCACGTTGGCCACTTAAATCAAAAATACAACACAAATAAGAAATAGACATATAACCAAAAAAATTCTAACTATTATAAAGAAAAAAAATAAAGCTGCCAATAATTTATTTTAGAATACTTTAGATGTAGATAACATTTATAATACTGGGTTTCACAATATCTTGTTTTATTACTTCCTAATGTTGACATTTTAAAGTAACAGATTACTTCAAAATAAACCCAAACCATTTAGTGTTTTACTATTAAATTTCAGACACCAAAAAATTTAGATCAAAGGTTACAGAACAGGCATCCTTCAGAATATATTTTGTTTGGTAGGCAGAATGGCTTGTAATCTTTTGAACTGGAAAGTCTTCAGGAAGTACTTACTTGCTATCAAGGACCCTGCCAGCTTCCCACATTGTTACCTGCTGGGCATGTGAAAAGACTGACACCCTATTTTTCATATTATAAACCCAATATTTGCTTATAAAAATTAGTTGTAGTCAAAGAGCAAAAATTCAAATGCTGTAAACAATGTTAAATCTTACTAGTTATAGCTCTAATTTGAAAAAAATATATCAAGCCAAAAAGGTTTCATTTTCATAATACTTCTTTACATAAATTATGAGAGACATTTGTATATATATTCTCTTAGAAAGAATACTGCTGTGAGTAACCTGAAATCTGGACTAAACCAGATTTCTGAAATCTAGATAAACCATTCACATAGAAAACAATCGTACATAAGTCTTGGCTCCCAAACAGTGGCTTTCAACTTTGTTTGTACATGTAACATAAAAATTCTCAAATATTTGAGTTGAAGGAAAGGTGACATTAATAAGGCAAATAAAAATAACAAGTGACAAAAGTTATCTTCAAATCCTAGAGAATGAAGTAAAAAGGGAGATATCTCATACGACAAATTAGAAAAGAGGAAGAATTTCAAGTAAATGTGGCCTTAGACCTTTTACACTGCTACTCCCTAAAATTGTACAAGGTAAAGGCCATAAAATACTTGTTCCTTCAAGGAAAGCAAAGTAGAAAACACAAAAGGAAATATAAAAATGTGTAGTTATGAAAGAAATGAAGAGATGATGGTACTAACTCCAGTATGATGCTTAAAAAAACACCAAAGAATAATATATGTATTAAAAAGATAGTAATCTATTAGGTCTTTTTTAAGTTATACACAAATAAAAACTAATCTCTAACTCTTTAGAGGTTTAAATTTGACAGAGAATATCTATTTACCTTTAAATTTGTCTCACTTCTTTAGACAACTGAATCCCATCTAAATAAATATTTTTAAATTCTTAATTATCAAAGCCAGCCTCTTAGCTATGCTTTGATAATTCTATATATATTAATAACAAAGCTTTGCTGCATTAATCTCATCAATACCATGGTTACAACAATCAAGTTCATTTTATAGGCGTTAATTAAATTGGCCATCACCATACTACATTACTGCAATGACAAAGATATTGGGTAAACTTTTTCAAGACGAATTACATTGAAATGATTATTTTGAAAGTTTTTAGTAACAGGGAGAAAAGGGAGAATTACAAACGTTGAAAATTTGTTTGAACACAGAACAGAATGTCCAGGATCCTATATAAATGAAAGTATCAGCAAATAGTACCATCTTGGTCTATGAATGATGTTCTCCACAATGGACTTACAAGTTTTAAAAATTCCACTAAGAAGACACTGATTAAAGTTTATATGTGACATATTTCTAAAAACATCTGTTAGTAGTTTGCCATAAAACTGATTTAAGGTAGTTGTGTTTTTCAGTAGCATTAGAATAACCCAACACTTGGTAGAAATACTCAGTTCAGCACACCGTATTAAAACATAATTGTACAACGTTGGATAAATTAGCTGCAATTTTCAGTAGCTATGTTTACCAACCGTGTAACAGAATTATAATGTTCTCCTAAGCCATATGCATGTCTCATATATCTGAAATTAAAAAAAAGAAATGAGTAGTTTTGATGAAATGAGTTTTGATCAAAGTAATTTACTGTGTATGTGTGTGTGTATGTATATATACACAAACATGCTTATTATGTGTATATAAACCAATGATTCCGAATGACTCAGTCCACATGGGTATCACTCAATAGACTATGTGGACATATTAATTAAGAGTTCAACATCATTTGAAAAGTGGCAGCAGTCATCTAGATCTGGTTCAATCACTGGGGGTAAAATGAAAAGGCTTACATGCTGAGGGCTCAGTAAGCTTAAATTGTCACCTAAGTCTTAGCCATTGATGACTACCTTAATAGGTTTAGCTAAAAAATACTAAAGCCAATAGCAAACCCTGCATGCTGTATTTCAGAAGAGATTTCTCAATCATGTAAGATATTTTGATAAAATTAAGAAAAAACATCTAAGGAATAAATAGGTAACATGAAGATATCTCAACTTTTACACTTGTTGAAACCTTTAGCACTACTAATGTCAAACCTGGACAGTATACAAACTAGTCCTAAAATTTTGTAACCTTTAGAAATGACTTTATTCTTAACTCACACACAAGAATACATCACTACAGGTTTAAAAAATTATCTAAGTCATATATTTTAACATATATATTCTAAAATTTTTATATTCCTTTTTGTCTCAATTGTGAAAAATAAAACAGTAAAAATGTCTAGGTACTTACACAAGTATTAGTGGTTTTTGTGAATATTCTTCACCAACTATAATGGGAGGAGAATCTGCCTGTATTATCTCTATTGGTGTTTGTAAAATGTGAGACAGAGCTCTAAGCTACAGGAAGAAAAAAAAGTATAAGTAAGGAAAATAAAAATGTACATCATATTCAAATAGTAAACTACTGAAGTATGTGTGAATGGGCAACCAGTCAGAGCAGGGAAATGCTCTGTTCACTACTGTACACAGAGAGCCTGGCATATAGTGGGCACTTAATAAATATTTGTTGAACGAGTAAATATAGAACAGGTTGAATATCCTTTATCTTAAATGCCTGAAACCAGAACTGTTTTAGACTTTGAATTTTTTTTCCAATTTGGGAATATTTGTATGTATTACATGAGCTATCTTGGGGATGGAACTCAAGTCTAAACACAAAATTCATTCATGTTTCATACATATCCTACACACATAACAGTAAGGTAGTTTTATACTACATTTTAAATAATTTGTGCATGAAATTAAGTAGTGAACCTGTGACCTTTCACATAAAGTCAAGTGTAGAATTTTCCATTTGTGATGTCATGTCAGCCCTCAAAAAATTTGATTTGGGAGCATTTCAGATTTCAAATTTTCAGATTAGGGATGATCATCTTGTATTTATTAAATCAAATGCAGAGACTGCTCAAGCACTACCTGCACAAAAGTTTTGTAAAAAATATCAATGCCACTGTTAATGAAGAGGGGCAATGGGTAGATTAAGTATATTATATTAGTCTCTCTACTTTTGAATATGCTTGAAAATGTCCATAACAAAAATATTTTTGAAATACCATTGCTTAAGCATCAGATCAAATCAATTACAATGTGAGAAAATGGGTAGAAGGGAAGAATAACATATTTATTTATTTTTTTAAGTTTTTCAGATGATTCTAAGCTACAAACACTGTTGATAACCACTGTTCTATAATTTTCAAAGCAAGAATAGAATGAACTATGTATATGAATTGTACTGCCCTATCAACAAGTTTCCATCTCATTAAGATATACAATTTTAAGTAATTTCATACCATATAATAGAAAACTAGAGCCTAAAGCCAGATGAATAATGGTAAATAATGAACATTAATGCTAACATGTTTTAAGACTTATTACAATTATGGCCAAGCACAGTGGCTCACACCCATAATTCTGCACTTTGGGAGGCCGAGGCAGGCAGATCCCTTGAGTCCGGGCATTTCAGACCAGCCTGGGCAACATGGTTAAACCCTGTCTCTACAAAAAAATACAAAAATTAACTGGACGTGATGGATCACTTGAGCCCGGGAGGCAGAGGTTACAGTGAGCCAAGATCACGCCACTGCACTCCAATTAAGGTGACAGAGCTTTAATCCTCTCAATAACTTTATGGAATAGGTACTATTATTTTAAAGACTTAGCACCTGAGGCAAAAAAGGTTTATGAGACTTGTCAAAGTCAAGCATTAGCAAATTAAATGGCCTGCACAGAACTGAAGAACTTTGACTCTAGAGCTGAAGTTCATAAACAAATTAATCATTAACAGTTTTCAATCATAGTGTCCGCTGGTGGTTGGTGGCTCATGCCTGTAATCCCAGCACTGCAGGAGGCTAAGGTGCCTTGAGCTCACTTGAACTCAAGCGTTTGAGACCAGCCTGGGCAACACAATAAGACCCTGTTTCTACAAAAAATACAAATAGTAGCCAAGCATAATGGTGCATGCCTGTAGTCCCAGCTACTCAGAAGTGGGAGGATCACTTAAGCCTGGGAGATTGAGACTGCAGTGAGCAATTATCGATAGCACCACTGCACTCCAGCCTGGGCGACAGAGTGAGACTCTGTCTCAAAAAGAAAAGAAAAATCATAATGCCCCGATCTATGGGGCACTATGGGATATGTACTTGCTCCATTAAAAGAACATTCCATCAATGAATATAGTCCTTCCTGAAGTTTTGAAGAATGTAAGAAATCACTTTAAAAATATGGAAAGGGCTCTGCTGCATGGTAGCAAATCAAAAATGTTCCGTTGAAGCAGATTTTTCTTATATCTAAAATAACATTTTTAAGATACTAGCATAGACTCAAGGATGGGAACCAAACTCTGGAAATCCCACCATCCCTTCTAACTTCAGGAATCATAAGAATGATTTTCTCTTTAATAACTTAAATGTACCCTATTGTGAAAACTGCAACTTTTACTTCAAATGAATTCAGAGATGAAAAAACTGAGTAATTATCCTTCAAAAGATGTTTTAAAAGGCTTTTCTTAGTTTAAATAGAGTTGATTTAATCTCTAATACTCATATGAGTGATCGTTATAAGAAAGTTCAAGCATTTTTAACTATTCCTAATGTAGTAACAAAGCTACTATGAAAACGTCTGAGTTTCAGAGGTATACAAAACTAATGGATAGAGTTCCCTCTGGTGGAGATGCACATACACAGCACTACTAAGACAAAGATTTGGGGGCAACATTCATGTCACATCTTCAAATGAAGCAGTTCTTAAACTGAATTATTTAGAGCCAAAGACTATTCACGATAATTAAATTTTCATTATATGTTATTAATTGCACTGTCTAGGTTCATCCATCTGGCACTTCAGCTTACAAACTTTTATGTAGGTACTCTCTGTCTTATTTAATGTTCAAAAATGGTTAACTGAGTACACAGAGAGGGTTTATTATGATCATACAGTAGTCAAGAAACTTAAGATTGGCAGGATGGCTGACACCCCTGACACCCCTGTGGCCACAAAACAGAGAGGTAGAAGGAAATGCCAGCACCTGAATCTAGGACTTTACTTCTTATCCTGTCTAATACCCAGGCTGCTTCATCACCATCTGGTCTACTTAACTGTTTTGTTTATTTTAACAAAACAAAGTTAACAGATTTTTTTAAATTGGAGCTAAAAAGAAATCTTGGTAACTTTCTAAAAGTGACTGAATATACTGTTTTCTTACATATGAATTTAATGCATCAACTACTACTTTCAAGTAAGTCAGTCACAATCTATTAGGAATTGAAAGCACAATTTTAATACATATGCTGTGATAGGATTTGGGCTGTAATTTCATATAAAAATATCTTTTTCACTTTTGATGTAAAAAAGACATTTTTCCAATAGTGACTTTGATCAGCTGAGCCACTACAGTAAATTTTACTTTACTTCAGTAAAGTCTTCACTTTCCTAAGTGCAGAAAATCAAATGTGTTGTCAGTAGCAGCATCACAATGAAAAAACTTACACAGATGTACCTCCAACAAATAGATCTAACACCGAGCTTTTTAAAATGAAATAGTGTTTTAATCCTCATACTTTAATCATAGACCTAATGATGTTAACTACCTATTTCTTTTTTAGTTGAGAATAGCAAATATATAAAGAAAAGGAATCTTCAAAGAGAAATTGGGATCAGCTGAGAAACATCTTAAAACTACAGAGGGGATTCAGAAATAATTTAACAACCCACAATCGCTATGAATAACTACAAACTTACCTCAAGCTGACCTCCCCATGCAGCTGTGTTTACAATATCATAGCAGTACTTCTGAAACTCTTCTGTAGAGAATAGGTCAGAATACAGCATTTAATAATTTTTGTAACTTATGTTACAAGATCCCTTTTATACTTCCCACAATTTCTGACAAAAATGCCCAAGTTATGAACATTCTCCTTCTTTATCAGTATACTCCATAATCTAATCCACCTCCCAAATCCAAACTTTATTCACTCCAACTTTCTACCACATTTCCATCCAATAGAGCAGTCCACTTCTGCTTTATTTCTTCTGTCAGAGGCCCAGATACCTTCCCTACATATCAAACCTACCTAACTCTACCCCCAGCAATGACTCCCAAAATTGCCACCATATTCACTATCTTGACCTGTATTGTGAAGCCCAAACCTGCATCCAAAGGAATACCAGGTAAGACCAAAAAAAAACACCTTGTCCCTGTATAATCAGGTTTACTGTAAGACTCTGGAAAAGGTACGAAGAAAATCTGAGTAAAAGTACAGATTAGTTGAAATTCCTTCCCCAGAGATAGCATCACATAGCATCAAACAGTGCCTCCACTTGTTATTTTGGAAGCACTTACATTATTTGCATAAATATCAGTTCTAGCTAAGGAAAGGCTTTTCAGATCAATCCTGAGAAGTAAAAGACCTAGTCACTAAATTTACAATGGGTATATTTTGTGAATACAACTTTATATATAGTATGTTAAAATGGTAAACAATTATCCTTACTACAAAGATGGAGGGAAAGAAATTATGGACATCTAAAAGAAAAATATGTCTCGTGTTTGTTTCATTCCCTGTTAAATCTTCAGTGTTCAGAATAGTGCCTAGGATAGTGCTGTGCAGTGGCCTTCAATTAATATTGGTTGAATAAATGAAGATAATTAAGTCTTTTGTGTTTTTCTCTGACTCAGCATACTGAACTGCCACCTTCTCTATGCCCTACAACTAGTGCAATTGGGGAGTTTCAATGATTTGGTAATCATTTGGGAGATTAACGACAGAAAAGTCATTTATCACATTGTCTCAGCATATATCAAGATATATGGAAAAATGAGTTTATGTCCCATAGCAAGTTCTGTTTAATTAGAAAACAGCAGTGACCTAAAACAGCAAGAGATAAGTTAACATTTCCAATATGACATCTATGGGAAATTCATTCACTACAGAATTAGATATGCCTAAGTCATTCTTGAGATCTATCCACAGATACTGCAGGTCATACACACTAAAGGAGACATACTTGATTGCCAATGCTCATTCTTATCCATTTTGCATCACTCTCTACCTTCCCTCCATGGAGGGCAGACTCCACTAAAGGAAAGTCAGCCTTAACCTTTCTCTCTCCAACCCATTTTGGCCATATGACTTGTTCCCAGTGGACACTGCCAAACCTGCCATCAAAAGTCCTCAGGGACTAACAGTCCTCTAGTCCATTCTTTACTCCTCCAAAATCTATTCAGATTTTTACTTGCTCTCTTCCTCATCTGCTAGTTGTATACTTTTTACTTCATCGTAAATATTTTAACTGTGGAAAGTACTATACATAATAAAGCAGGTTATTAACTCATTTGTTTTGGTTTTGCAAAATCAAATTTTACTTGAATACTAATCTTCGTAATTATAGCTTATTAAGAATAAAAGTAAAATTCCCAAAGTATGGGATAAAAGGAGGAAATAGTTTTCCTAGTCATTCTCTCCTTATGGTCTTCAGACCCTATATATACTTCCTCAAGCTTATCTTCCTCAATAATTAACTTCGTCAAATATAAACTTACATATTTTTCAAAAATGATTAATCTTATTCCTATTTTTATCTTACATAAAATGATTAACATATTCTAATTACAAAATAACTAATTTAAAAATCTTAATAAAGAAAAATATACCAACATCTATTAAAATATGTGAAATAATTCTGCCTAAATCTTGTGATGTTTTTCCTCATAAGGATCATATGGGTTCTTCTTATGCTCAGTGCTAGGAAGCACTTTATTTAAAAACAACAGCAACAATGAAAAGTAGTAAAGAAAAATAAATTACCTGGAGTATACATATCTCCTGTATTAGGGTTTGTTAAAAATGGCAGAAAGTCATCCACATGGCTTTGCATATACTCAGCGGTCTGACTTCTTAAGGCAACCACAGTCAGAGCACAATTCTTTTCTTTCAGTTGATCTTCAACGGCTCTATACATACAGTGGCCATCAGATGGAATCTGTTTAATTTCTAACTGTCTAGCTGCCAATATCTGAGCAAGTTTTTCACTTTCCACATGTCTGGCTCCTGTTAAGTTTTCAATTTCAGCTTCAGCTATCCGTTCTTCTCGCTCCTTTTCCAATGCAGCTTTCTTTTCCTAAGAAAACGAGAATGCAGGAAAGTTAATTCATAATGATTAAGACTAACTCTCATTTATTAAGGGAATGGAGATGTAAAGGTCTCAAAACTTTTTGGTGTCTTTCTCCCTTCTCCCACAAGCACTATCACATTGATTATCTCATTGTTTAAAGAATTTTCTACAAGCTGAGCTCCTGTAAGGGCCTGCTATCTTACTCATCTGTGTGTTTCCAGCACCTTGCTCTATACTGAACATTAAGAGAGCCCTCTAGTTTTTCTTTGAAATCTACTTAAAAACTACATGCCAAGTTTCTAAAAACTTTACTTACTGATTTCAAAGTATTATCTTAAGACTGAGCTATCCTAGGCCTTAAAGCACATTATTATTATACTAAAGCCCAGGCTAATCCAGCCTTCTTATCACTCCACCAATAACACGTTAATGTAACACAGCATTTAGAAGAGTATAGGCAGACACTATTTTTATCCAGCTTTTTAAAATGAATGTATATGCATACATTTAATTAACAAATATTTTACAAAAAAAATAAAATAAAATATAACAGATAGACTAAAGTTCCCCCTAAAACCACTGCCATCCCAGTGCTTGGTCTAGGTTTGGTATGTATCCTTCTAGATTGCTTTTCTATTCGTTTTCATAAATATAGTATACTCTTGAAAAATGTGTAAATTTTTAATAAAAATGGTATCATTTGTCACATTCTGCAATTTGGTTTCCTTACCCAAATGTCTGAAGAGCTCCTACCATGGAAACATATGCTAGGATGGAGTGGGGTTAAGGCAATGAGAGATCTGTGACATGAAGAATAGACTGGAGGTGTGGCGGGAAGACTGGTGAAGAAGAAAGGGAAAAAAATTCCTGACAGATGGACTAGTAATGATCAAAAGCCAGAAAGCACTATATGTTTCATAGCTAAAAACAGTTCATAGAGCTAGAGTGCCAGAAAAAAAGTGTCAAGAGATGCAATTGGAGGCAAAAAAGATAGGCATATAGTTAGTATGCAGTAAGTCTACACTTAACATAGTACTAAAAGAAAACTAGAATATATGTAAAATATAGTTCTTTTATCTGGATGACGGGATTCTGAAATAAATTTTACTTTGAAAAGGGTGTGTGTGTATGTCTGTATGTTTTTCTGCATCTTTCTAATCCTTTACCATATATTTTGTTTGTACACTCAAAGGGAAACTCCTTTATAATTTAAGAATAAAAACCAACTAAGTTATATAAATCTTGATATTAGTAATAAGTTACAGTGAAGGATTTGGTAAGCCAAGACTAGAAAAAGGTAAAGACTTCCATACCGCTAGCTCTAATTCCTCCTTGAAACAAAAGTGAATGGGAAGGCAAGTTTCAATTAAACTTATTGCCAAATACTTGTACTATTTGCCTGTGACGTGCCATGCTAGATGAACCTAAAGTGATTTATAAGCTACCTGAATCAAAACCAGCAACATCGCCCTAATAAAACGTAGCCTATTTAAGGTTTTACTTCCCAACTCTGTAATATAAGTAACAGGAACAAATTTATTTCACTACATACCTAGAAATGTGGATCACAGAGGCATAAAAATCTTAAAACACAAGATGGCACTATTACTTTATAAAAGACTAAAAAAGTTTCAGAGGGGAGAGGAAGAATAAGCACCTTAGATATCATCTAATCCAAAACCCCTCATTTTCCTCTTCTGAGGAAACAGCATGCAGAAAGATTTCCAAAGGCCACACAGCTGGTAAGAGCAGAGCAGGGACCAAGGACAACACAGAGAGCTCCTTCTATCCAGGCACCTGAATCAGAATAAAAGTTGGAGCAGATGGGAGCTGAAGTTAATGATGTCATATACTATTTACTGGAAGAGTGGCACTTTATCCTATCTGTAAAACTGTTTAAGCTTCTAAAATACTAATTCTAATCATTTCATTTTTTTCCCTTCATGTTTTGCTTCAGTAGAACAAAACAACTGAGTTTCCTTTTCAGAGCACTAGATAAGAAATTCACTGGATTCTCTTTCCAGCAATGTATAGCTTCCCAAAACCACTAGGCACTTTGGTTTCTACAGCTATAGTACTGGAGATAGAATGGTACCAATAAGTTCTAATAAAAATGTGTAAAAGATGATAATAGCATGTAAATCATAAATATATAGTAGATAAAACTAGAGTCATGTTGATATAGTAATATAGCAAAGACAACTCTAAGGGAATACTAAGAGCTGAACACCAGTCCTGGGTTTGTATCAAAGTTTTAGTGTACTACTGCGATAACCTGGATCTCTGCTTTCTCATTTGTAAAATAAAGAAATTAAACTCAATCTCATTCCAGCTCTCAAATTTCATATTTTTAGAAGCCAGCTCTTCTAAGTTCTATTTTAGACTCTTTATTTTTATTATTATTTTTTTTTTTCCGAGACGGAGTTTAGCTCGTTACCCAGGCTGGAGTACAATGGCGCAATCTCGGCTCACAGCAACCTCCACCTCCTGGGTTCAGGCAATTCTCCTGCCTCAGCCTCCCAAGCAGCTGGGATTACAGGCACACACGCCACCATGCCCAGCTAATTTTTTGTATTTTTAGTAGAGACGGGGTTTCACCACGTTGACCAGGATAGTCTCGATCTCTTGACCTCGTGATCCACCCGCCTCGGCCTCCCAAAGTGCTGGGATTACAGGCTTGAGCCACCGCGCCCGGCTAGATTCTTTCTATCCTATCAAAAACCTTCTAAGTTTTTTGAATTAAATAAAATACTATGTTTTTCTAGACTAAAAATAAGAGATATGCTCTAAAATATTCCACAATATTCTTACAATAAATCTTTATAAAGTTTTATGTTTTTCTTCCAGAGTTGTATCTTTCCCAAAGATAAACATCATATATTAACTGACTTTTCATTCCTTGGTGCTTCTGCAAAACAGGAGGTACCAAATTATCTAACACCTGATTGTGCATCCTGACTTCAGGTTCCATTTTCTCAAATATTGTAAATGTTTAATATTTTCTGTTCTAAAATTCCATTAACATAACAATGTAAAAGCATGACTTGGCCATTTTTTCTGCCAAGCAGAAAACTGTCAAGCAGCTGACTATAAAAGATACTAAATGTTTTAAGAGGATAGCTGACAAAAGTATATTTCCAGTTGTGCAGTATTTTAGGGAAAAGGTAACAAAATTTTTGAGAAAGGCAAGGGAGTTTTCATTTTGTTTGTTCTGTTGTCAGAGATCCAGCTATGGAGGAACAAGTTTTGATAAAGACAGGAATAACTGTGTCCATATGTTTTCCAGAATTAGTTAGACTATTATAAGATGTATCAATTACTAAGTCAATGTTATTCCAATACTTTGTTATGCTACTGGCATGCACAAATTCTGCCCTTCCTTTTTGATCTATAGAAGCTAGATGACAATTGTGAGATCATCACAAAAGAATGCATATCATAAGCAGACAATCTCCAAGATTCCATGAAATCTAAAATTTATGAATCTACAAAAATCAGAATTATATTTACTCAAGAATAAAATTTTATACAAAGAGAAATGTTTGACTGTGCATTTCATCAACTTTCAAACAAAAAAGGCATTGTTTTTAGGTTTAATTTTTTAAGAGGCATACTATGTACTACTTAACATAGTAATCAATACTATCATTTGTTGACTCATTAATTCTCCAGGCCTGTGTCAAGGGCTTTGGAAATAATACATTATTTAATATTCAAAATGAAGTACCTTATGAAGTAGCTGTCTTATGAAGTAGCTATCACTTGCCCCCATTTTATAGATGTGAAACTGAGGCTTAAAGAAGAACCTTACCCAAAGTATAACAGTAAATGATAAAACCTCATCTGTTTGACACTAAACTCCATGCTCTACTAAATTACATACTATGTCATAAGATGCAAAACGAGTTTAAAACTATGCATTTAAACCATGGAAAACATCGAGTTTTAATAAAATAATACTCATGACTAAAAAGACTGAATTTATTCATTTTTCTTTTTTCAAATTCAAGGGACTTACCTAGCTAATCTCATTTCCATAATGCTGATATGAACTAGCTACTTCCAATAAATCAGTTTCCATATAGCTCCTCAATAATACAATATGTTATCCTCACATTTGTTTTGTGCATGCTGTTTCTCCTATCTGGAATATTCTATCTAAATAATATTTCTTTCAAATTCCAACCCTTCTCTAAATTTTCATAATTAATCATTATATAGATACCTACACAATTCTCTAAGAATTTTGTATACCTACATGTGTTAACTTCTAGGTTCAAATCTTTATTTCTCACCCAATGGTATAGTTCTTAGCCAGGGTTGTACATCATATCATCTGGGCCCACATTCTGAATTTTTAAATCTGAGATAATATAAACTACTCTCATTCCCAGCTTCACTTTCCTATGAGAACTGCATCCTGAATGTTATTTTTTATTCTCTTAGGACCATTTCTTCTCCATAAAATGGGATAAGAGATCCTACTTTACAAGATTATTGTCAGGACTAACTGAGATTTCATATAAGAGGCTTAGCATAGTATGTGACACACAGCAGGTGCTTAATAAATGTTAGTTCAAGTTCCTTGACAAGCAACTGCATCTTTTTTTTTTTCATTTTCTTCCTATAACAAGACCTAAGATAGTACCTAAGATAGTATTGAACACACAGCACTAACTTATAAACTTGGTGACATGACTTTCATACCCGTCTCTTTTGTGCTTTTGATATCCGAGGTGGCTGATTCTCAAGTACCAAGTTTGAAATGTTAACAGCAACAGAATCTATCTGAAGGAAACAAAAAGTATTAAAAAGTCAATGAAAAATACTTTTTAAATTATTGAAAATCATAAATATATCTAATCCCACATTTCAAATTTGAACAGCAGTAGACACTGTATTAGATCATATGGTTTTGTCTCCTGTCTCTATTTTTATGGAAAAATTTGACAAGTTCCCAAGAAGTTTCCTTACAACCCTTCAAAGATCATGCTCATCCCTGCATGCCTTCCATCTTTCTTAGAATGCCTACTCCATTAATCTAAATGCAGTACTGTACTTCCTGTAAGTGCCAACTCATTCAGCACTCTACCCTTCTTTTCTCTGACTACTGATAGTATATATAAGATAAAGGTCCTGTGCTGGCTCAGTTCATTATTTACATGCACAACCTCAATGTGGCAGGAGAAGCCCTTTTCCATCTTAATAAGCCAGAACTTGATGAGTACTAATTCTTGATCCTAGTATTAAGTTGAGCTTATCCTACCCTACCCTTTTCCATCTACAAACTGATAACTGCAGGCAGAAAATATATTTAATTTATGATATCATTTGATATTATAAGCAATCCTAATACTCAAATGGCTAGTATGTGTTTGCTAGAGTAAAATAAAGATGCTAGACTTTTAACTATAAAGATAAGTAGCTAATATTACTGCAAATATAAGTTAAGCTAGTTTTTAGTATAACACACACATAGAATAACTCAAGGCCTTTAATACACAGAGACAGAAGTCTCCAAAGACTATATCACAAATCATCAAAATATTAAAATCAGAGACTTCAAAAAATGGTTATCAGCTTTAGTGAAATTAGGAATCTTGTGATTCTTCAGAGGAATCTGCTAAAGTTTACAAACGACTATATTGACAATAGGCAAGATAACAGAGATGCAACTAAAAAACAAAAAAGCAATGGCATGAGTTTGGGTAGTAGTCAGAAAAGAAAACCAATTTAAGTTAATGAAAAAGATAAACAGTTCAAAGTAGAATGGGAGTTTGTGTTTCAACAGTAGGACCCCACGTAGCTTATGAATCATTTTTGTCCTTGGAAACCTGGGAAGGAAACCTCAAAACTGAAAGGTCTGTGAAAGCAAACAAAATTATCTCACTAATAGAAAAGATGGGAAGACAATTAGGAACACAACTGTCATGACACAATTTAACACCTGGAGTATCATGCCTTGCTACCTAGAGATGAAGTATATTAAGGGCAAAGGAAGTTGGGAAATTTAGACTATACTTAATGTAAAGACCATTGTAAATTAGCAAAGACAAGCTGTACTTGTCAAAAGCAAACCGAAATGAACCAAATAAAATTTAAGTATGCAGATAAGATTTTGCATAGACCTAAGAACTTTCTAACTATCATAGATGGAGTGAGGTTGTGGAGTCTATATGGCCCTTTACATCCAAAGCCTATACAATAAATACCACACTATACAAAGCTATGGCAGAATTCAGTATTCACTTCCTGGAGTAAGATAGTTCTCATTTGGAATTCTGGCGTTGGCAATTAACAGCTGTTATGACTTCTGGACAAAGTTCTTAATCTCTTTAAGCCTGTTTCCTACTTGAAAAATGGGATTATTTACACTTATCTCATAGGTAATACCTCACATTATGTTACTGAGGTTAAATGAGATAATACATATAAAACAAAGTGCTTGGCACATATATATTAGTTCCAACAATAAAATAAATATTAGTAAAAATGATGAAAGGATGCTCCAACTTACCCAAGAAACATCAGTAAAATTTCATTCATTAAAACTTGTTCATAAAGCACTTTTATAATTTAAAAATGACTTCACGTTCGTTTTCTTGATTCTTACAAAAACCTGTGCTTAGACAGCAGAAATATTTGTATTGTATTATACGTGTGGGAAAATCAAGCTCAGAAAGATTAAGTAATATTGCTCAGGCTACAATCCCACTCAGTTGCAATTCTGGGATCAGATGTATGGTCTTCCAATTTTCATTTGGTGCCACTTCATCTTCGAGGCAAGTAAATAGGTAAAAGAAGTACAGCACTTTCTTGGTTCATCTCCCTTATAAAAACACTGCCCTGTGAACCTGGTCACAAAAATCTTAATGAGAAGTGATGCATGAGCATAACTAAGTGATTTCATTTGCCTACCAACTTTATGATTTTAGATAATAAGCAGTTTAAAAGAAGTGGACAGCTGTTTTCAAATGGTGTAGGCAACAACAAACATTTCACATACCTTATTCTCCTTAATAGTCAGCTTCAATTGCTCCAGTTCTTCTCTATGCTTCTGTTCCATTTCTTTTTCCAATTTAGCCACATCTTCAGTGAGTTGCTTCCTCCTCTTCTTGTCATTCTTGGGAACAGCATTCTTCATACCCTGAATTTTGGCTGAAAAGCCATCAAAATCATTAAGTCAGACACCCAAGAGTAAAAAGAGATGAAAAACAGGAACCAATAAGGGGATGGTAAGGGGAGAAGGGTAGAGAAAAAGTAATTATGGAAGCAAGAGTCATCACATAACAGACAGCTGTAGAGAGAGAAGCGGCCTGATGACGCTGAGACACACACACACACAAACTTCATTAACATAATCTTGACTATATTTCGGTTGTTTCATGAGTTAAGAGGAGGAAAAAAACCTGACTGTAGCAAGTTTTAAATCTTTCAGGTATCTTTTCTAGGCCACCTAAACTGAGGCGAGGCCGTTCAAAATACAACCATTAGGGCCAAATATCGGTAACTGGGGCAGTATAGAAAAGGGAGGCATAGAGAGTTTGGGAGGAGACCAGTCTGGGTCCAAAATCTCGGTTTCAAGGTATTTTCAGGACACTGACACCAAGGCGGCGGCACAGGGTAGGGGGCAAGCGGCAGGCCTCAGAAGGGGAAGCCTCGGAAGTCTGGGGAATTAAAGAGCCGCCAGGGCGGGGAAGGCGGGAGAGAGGAGACCACTTGCGACTAGGGGAAGTCTAGGGTTATCCAGATCAGACATGCCTTAAAATTCCCCAGCACCGACCTGCCACGCGCCCTTCCCCGGGTAGGGGCGGCTTCCAGATTCCCACTTCCTTCCCCCTCACCCTGCAACTCCTTCTTCTCTTTGCGATGCCTTCTCACCAGCTGCTCTTCCTCATCAAGCTCTTCAGTTAAGACCGCCTCCATGACGACCAGGTACCCCAGCACAAGCGCTGGGAAAAACCTACACCACCGGCTACTAGGCACCTTCCACCCTTCAACCCTCACCCGGGGCTCCATTGGCTACTGCTGGGACCCAGCCCGCCTTCAAGGCGGTATCGAATCTAAGCCGAGCCACTGCGAACAGGAGAAAGTTGAATGAGGTGCTGCGCGTGCGCACTACCGTGACCCTGCCGTGATGGGCGGGGCGGCAGGGGCGGAACCAGACTGCGAGCGGTGAAGCGTCAGTGCAGCCTCCGATTTGACTAGAGCGCTAGAGCCCCTTCTGCCTTAAAGCTACCCGCCAGGCTCAGCCATGATAGTGAGGCGCGTTAGAGATGACGTAACAGGAATCGTTTTCAACGTCTATTTTATGCCATGCTTCAGAAGACCTCCTTTAATCTTTGACTTTGGTCCCTGTTTCTAAGAAAAGTAACTGAAAAGGTAAGAAAGAAAAATAAAGCGTTTTAATAACCGTTGGTAATTATCAGTGGGAATCTTTGGGCTGTTTTGGGCCGTGTATAATTAAATTGTTTGTTTACAAGGTCGTAATACCGCCCCTCAGAAGAAAGGAACAGCGCTAAGTAATCGAAAAAAATGCCTCCTCTTGAAACGGTTATAGATTTGGAAATAGAAGATATAGGAAGGATTGAGAATCATAGATACAGGAGCTTAAAAACCTGTGCGCGATGATAAAGAGTGTAATGTCAGAGCGCTTGGAAAATACCAGGAAGTTGAGAGTTAACAGAAGGGCGCAGGCTGAATTGGCCACAAAATCGAATTACTGAAGTAAGTGTAAAACAAGACAGATTGTCACCAAATACGGAGAAAAGAGGAACAGAAATTAACATAAGAGGAGAAAAAGAGAGATCTAGAGGGCTGGTCAAGGAGATACAATCTACGCATAATGAGAATACCTGAAACTGGGGACAGAGCAAGTGGAGTTGAAACAATTATTAAGGATCTAATTGAAAAAAATTTTCCAGAATTGAAGAACGAACTAGATCTACAAATGGAAAACGCTCACAGGGTACCTTTAAATTTTTATAAAAAGAAAGCAACACCTAGACATAGCCTGATGACATTTCTTAAAGATAAAGAAAAAAGTTTACAAGCATCTGGACAGAGAAAGCATGTTACCTACAAAGGGTCAAAAGTCAGGCCGACCTCAGATTTTTCTCTTGCAATTCTAAATGCCAGAAGACAATGTAACAATATCCTCAGAGTTTTCAGGGAAAATAATTTTGAGCCAAGAGTTATATACCTTGCAAGTTATCATTTATTTTCAAAGGAAATTGGAAGACATTCTTAGATATACAGGGGTTAGTAAAAGTATAACAACCAAGAACTTTCCCTGAAAATTTGGCTGAATGATTCACTGCAGCTAACAGAGAACCTGAATTAAAATACGAATAGAGTGTCAACTGTATGAAAGAATTAATGGTATGCATTAAAACTAAGAATTGTTATGTAAAGGGCATTAAAATTAAATACAAAAACAGAAACGGAAGCAGGGTCTAAAATGTCAGTTTAGATTTAAACTGGAAAGGCATGCCACACGTTCAATATATTGGACAGATAAATACTGTTTCATTTTTAGCATATAGTATTGTAGATAAAAATATGCATGTTCTTCAGCTAAATCTAAGTTTAAAAGGGCTTTGTCACTGTAGATTGGACAAGTAACAGCATTCTAAATTTCAAATCTGACAAAATTGGAAAACAGTACAGTTTCATTTCTCTTTTAAGGATAGCAAGAAAAAAAAATAGCAAGTTTGTCTATAATGTTACTACTGATATTGTAAAGAAACTTCCAAATCACTGGTTTGGGAGGGGGTGGATAAATCCACATTTTATGTACATGTTGCATGGGGAAAAACAGTAATTACTGCATCATATAGTAGTTCATCTATGTAAATTTGACATTGAAATAGAATAGATACATTACAACGTTTTGGGTTGGAAAGGAGGTGGTAAAAAAATAAATAGCAAAAGGATAATAGCAAGAAGACATTAAAATTAGCACAAAGTAGATGACAGAATACAGATGACTTATAAACTGGTTAAACAGCTCTATTAAAATTGAAATTGGGTCAAAAATCAATCTCTAATCTGAGATACATTTGTATAAAACAAAGAATCAAAGAGTTTAAGGTAATGGAAACTGTAAGTCAGAAATAGCAACATTTTGTTAAACAAAATCTAAACATAAGACATTTTATGTAAAACATATAGGATGTAACATTTAACAAACTATATGGTAATTAATATGACAATATGTAAAATACGGGTTTCATATCTTGATGTGGGTGAGTTTTACTTATGTACATTGATATACATCTATTTAAAAACATGAATCTTTAAATTAGTGCATTTTATGTATTTAAAATTTATTTTGTAATCCTATATGTATTGTTAAAGAATATAGCAAAAATTATGTTGGACCTTGATTTCAATATTTATGATTTCTTTTTTTAGAGACAAGAGGGTTTTGCTCTGTAGCCTGGAATGCAGTGGTAACATCATAGCTCACTGAAGCCTCCAACTCCTAGGCCTCTTGCCTCAGGGTCCCAAAGCGCTGCGATTACAAATGTGAACCATCAACCCAGCACATTTACAGCCTTTGATAAATCAAGTAAATGGAAAGTTAAGAGATAAAAGATAAGTAGTTAAAATGTATGTGTGTAATATATATTGCTTTTCCACCTTGTTTTTGCATTCTTTTCAAATTATCCTGAAGCATTTATAAATGATTTTATACTAAGATGTAGAGAAAACTTTAACAAATTTCTAGAAAGCACTCATGACCACATTACAAAAAAAAAGCCTAGAAAATAATTTTTAACCCTGAAAAATCACATACTTGGAATTTTTTTTAATGTTCTTAACCCTTGGGTCCAAGAGGAAATTATAACAAATACTGATGATTTAGGAATTACAACCATGAAGATAATTATACTCTACATGCTATGGGATGTATGTAGAAAAGGCAAGAAACAGGAATTAAAACATTAGGTGAAGAATGGAATATGCACATAGGAAAAACTCAGTAACTAAAGTTTTTCACTTTTGCTATCTTTTTTTTTTTCTAATGAGTAATGGATTTTTATTTTTATTTTTTATTTGTTTTTATTTTTATTTTTTTTATTGCATTTTAGGTTTTGGGGTACATGTGAAGAACATGCAAGATAGTTGCATAGGTACACACATGAAGGGGAGGAAGGCAGCAAATTTTGCTATCTTTCAAATGAGGAAGTAGTGTGCCTTCATAGTGGATTCATCCCCAATATGTTATTAGGCCACAATTAACTACTTGGTGACAGATCTCTCCCAATTGAATTTTAATGTAACATAATGGATTCTAAGCATCTGACAACAATTGATTCTCAAGGAGAGAAAAGCTTAAGTCTCCTTTTTTCTCTCCCCTCTCCGCATTGTTTTCCCCTTCGTACATATAACAATCTTTTCATGTACAACATTTTTATTGAAAAGTATGGCCTTCAGAAAAACAGCATCAGCATTGCCTGGGAACTTGTTAGAAATGCAGTATCTCAGGTCAATAGCAACATAGTATTAGATCATAAAATCTTACACATCTACAAGCCTTCTCAGCACAGTGCATTATACATTATTAATGCTCAATAAATGCTATCCAGAAGATGTGTAGAAAAAATATTTGGATGTTGCCAAAACATTAACAGTACTTATATCTGGGTGGCAGCTTTTTGGATATTTCTTCTTTATGTTTTTTTAAACATAAATTACATTAAAAGAAAAAGCTATTTTACTTTTATAAATTAAACATTTATGCAGAAATTTTGAAAAGTATATAGATGGTGATATATGTTACCTGTTTTCATGCTGCTATAAAGAAATACCCAAGAGTAGGTAATTTCTAAGGAAAAGAGGTTTACTTGACTCACAGTTCTGCATGGCTGGAAAGCCTCAGGAAACTTACAATTATGGCAGAAGAGGAAGCAAACATGTCCTTCATAAGGTGGCAGAAGAGAGAAAGTGCAGAGTGAAGACAGGAAAAGCCCCTTATAAAACCATCAGATCTCAGGAGAACTCACTATCATGAGAAGAGCATGGGGGAACTGCCACCATGGTCTGATCACCTCCCATGAGGTTCTTCCCGCAACACATGGGGATTACAATCTGGATTACAATTCAAGATGAGATTTGGGTGGGGACAAAGAGCCAGACCATTTCACCTATGATCTCACCATGTAGACAGACCCTAAAAACAGTGTATTTCCTTCTGGTCAATTAAATTACTATTCAAATTTAGAATATATTAATTTCTGCTTCATTCACTTGCAATTATAGACATTTCTCCAAGTCAATTATTTTTCAAAAACATTTTTAACTGCTGCATATTTTCCCATCACACAAAATAGCTCTCACTTTTTAGCCCTTACCTAGCTTCTCCACAGTATTTGACACTATCTACTGCAGTATTTGCACAATTGACTCTCCCTTCTGTCCACATTTCTATTCAAACAGTGAAGCCTGCCCTCATTCCTTCATTAAAAGAAAAAATAGTGTGTTCTTCCCACCCAGCTGTCTTAGTTCCTGGTTAACCTTGATTTCTCTACATAGCAGTCAATGCTATCTGAGATGGCCTTGTTAAATTGGGTGTTGCCTGTCTCCTCCCTTGGCTGCTATGATACACCCTCTCCCTTGTTAATCTTTGGTTCTGGATGCTCCTTATTGACTGTTCTATCTCTTCCTGAAATTTGCTAAGTCCCCTAGGGCTCTGGGCTGGGCTCATTTTCACTCTGCATACTTTCTGCCAACTTCATCCCATGTCTTCAATTAATACATCTGTGTGCTGACTGGACCCTTCTCTCAAGTTCTAGGGTGTATTAAGATTCTCCAGATAAACGGAACTAAATAATTATAAATAGATATGTAAGAGATTTATTATGGAGGCCAAGAAATATGATATGCTGTCTGCCAGCTGGAGAACCAGGAAAACTGACCATGCAATTCAGTCCAAAGGCCTGAAAACCAGGTACTCCAACGTCTGTGGGCTAGAGAAGATGGATGTCCCAGGTTAAGTAGAGAGAGCTTCCCTTGCTTTGTTGTTTATGATTGTATCATGTCTGCTCACATTGGTGAGAGCAGATCTTTTTTACTCAGCCTACTGATTCTTCCAGAAACACTGTTTCACCAGCTGTCTGAGTATCCCAATCAAATTGACACATAAAATTAACCATC